GTAAGAGGACGCTAATTCCGCAACTTAGGAGAGAATTTCATTTATCCCTAAAAGTTCGAACAAAAAGCAAAGGAGTCATGCCGTTGATAAAGATGCAATCTATATTTAGATTAGATCCCCTCCAACCCATACACGTTATCAATATGCATTTTCTAAAGAAAGTAAGCGAGTGAAGTGAACAGAGGAGAGGGAGTTGACTACTTATGAGGTTCCGAATACCGTACCCTCGCTCATTCCATGTCTTGGAATTCTTTACTTAGTTTTTAACTCAATGTGTTTTTTTCCTTCACTCGACCGATAGGTTTATCATATACGAGTCCAAAGGGTGAAAGAAGGAAAATTTTTGTGGGTATCCACATCCAACCCGCACCAACCCGCAGTGGATAGTGGTTAACCACTACCCACTGTGGGGCGGGTTGTGAGTAGAATAATTCTATATTTGTGGATGTGATTACCCACAAAATGTGCGGCAGGTAACCACACCCACCCCAATTTCCACCCCTAACCGCCATTACTCTCTCCCTCTCCCTCTCCATTGCTCTCCCTTTTCCCCTAAATCTTCCCCACCAATCCAATTCCAATTTTCAAACACGCACCAAAGACAAGATACAGGAAATTACATATGGTTAGCTTTAGCTTTTGCCTTTTTTGTTTTTCAACGAGAGCAACCTAGAGCCGACTGAAGAAAGGGAGAGACTCGAAGAGAGCTTAAAAAAAGATGGAATTTTTCTCTGTTTTTTCTCTAGGAACACGAAGGGAAGATTAAGAGAATAAAGATTGTCAAAAGACTCTTTTCAAAGTTTTAATTTGGAGTTATTTTAGTGCATCCACGTGGATTTGTTACCAGATGGAGAGTGTCCAGCTCAGCCCTCCGTTAGTCCATCTTAGCCCATTATTTGACACCGTCAAAGAATTGGACGGAAGTTGCTATTTTTGGCATTTCGCCAAAAGTGGCTATATTTGGCTAAACCGTGAAAGTTTTGGCTACACAAGTGTATTTTTCCTAAAATCAAAATATATGTTAAATTGTTAATTGAATTGACTATTGGATATTTGGATTTGGTAGATGGAAATTTATCATTTATGTGTTGAATGTTGATTGAATATAATTGTCTATTGAGGTTGTGCACTTGTGCTGAATGGTAGTTTGTATTGAATTGAATTGATTGAAGTTGATTGAGTAATTGAATTGAGGTTGATTGAATTGAATTGACTATTGAGTAATTGATGAGAAATTTTTAGTGAATTGATTGAATTGAATTGTGCTGAATGGTTGTTTAGGAAATTTATGTGTTCATTTTGTTGTTTTTTTGTAGGACGAAACCTTCTGCTGGCAACCGTTGAGGAGGTAGTAAGAAGAAAGCTAGTTCTCTACCTCCTCGAAGCTCTTCAAACAAAAAGGTCAAAGCTCTTCAAAAAAAAATGGAAGGCTTCGAATAGCACACCTTCCACTACTGCAAATCCACCTCCACCTGCAGCTGCAGCAAATCCACCTCCCGAGGCAAATCCTCCTCCATCTGCAGCAAATCCTCCTCCATCTGCTGAGGTACCTGGTGTACAGAAGAAAATTGACAAGGGGAAGGGGAAGAAGTCAACATCTAAGTGGTGGATTCCTTACCCCGTGAGTTGGTTTATGACTACCCATACGGCAAATACAAAAGGTGTTGGGCACTGATCAAAACTCATTCAACCTTCAATGGGACTAGTGATTTGAAGAGCCATCATCTAATGTGCGAGAGGAGGGCGAAGAAAGCTAGTGGTCAGTCGGTATTGAACTATCAACCTGGAAGTGGAGATGGTTAGGTAGGCTCTCTTACTACATGGAACTTTGATCAGAACAAATCTAGACATGCATTAGCTATGATGATAATCTTGGATGAGCTTCCGTTTAGATTTGTTGAGCGAGAGGGGTTTAGGAGACTTACGACAACAACTCAGCTTTTGTTTGTGATACCTGGAAGGCAAACAATAAGATCTTGTTGTTATGTCATTTTTCTGGAGAAGAAAGAGATATTGATTGTGTTTTTTAACTCAAAGTGTAAAGGAAGAATATCTATCACTACATATACATGGACTAGTGATAACAACTAGAATTTTATGTGTGTGACTGCACATTTTATTGGAGATGATTGGAGGTTGCAGAAGAGGATTATTTGCTTTGTTCCCATTACTAGTCACACGGGGAAGGATATTGCAGATACTTTGGAGAAGTGTCTACAAGAATGGAAAGTGAAGAGTTTGTTTTGCATGACAATGGATAATACCAGTTCCAATGATGTTCTTGTTAAGTGCATGAGAACAAAAATGAAGGGGTGGGGATCAGATTTGCTAGATGGGAAGTATTTGCAGTATAGATGTGTGGCACATATCATCAATCTGGTTGTTTCTGATGGATTGAAGGAGGTTGGAGTTGTTGTGGAGAGGGTAAGGGATTGTGTGAAATGGGTGAAGTCATCCCCAGCTCGGAGTGCAAAGTTCAAGAAAGGCATCAACTATCTAGATATGGATGGGAAAAGACTGTTGTCTTTGGATGTTCCGACTAAGTGGAATTCCACCTATTCGATGTTGGATTCTGCAGAGAGGTTTGAGTAGGTTTTTAAGTTCATGTATGCTAGTCCTAATGATTCTTCCTTTTGAGACTATGTGGACTCCAAGAAGGGTCTTCCAACTGAAGATGATTGGAGCAGTATTAGGCGGCTCATGAAGTACCTGAAGTTCTTTTACGAGCTTACTCTTCTTGTATCAGGTATATGAACTAATAACTATTAAATTTTAAAATTAAATTGAATGATTATGAGTCATGAGTTATATTATATATACTAATGTTCAGTAAATTTTACTTTGTATCAGGAACATCATATGTCACTGCACATACTTTCTGCAAAGCCATTGTGGATATTCATGAAGTGATAACAACATTGAAGAAAGATGCAGATGGATAGATAAAAAGAATGACAGAAAGAATAGAGGCAAATGTGAGAAAGTATTGGTTTGAGAATGATGTTGATGACGAGGAGGATAACCTTAGGATAAATATGATAGTTTACATGGCATGTGTGCTAGATCCCATGCGTAAGCTAAACTATTTTACTATGATGTTGGAAGAAATGTATGGGATCTCAAAAGGGAGAGCTTTGGCAGATGAAGTAAGGAAAGAGATGATTGCATTGTACGAGGTCTACAAGATGAAGTATGCAACTCCACCCTCTGATTCTGTGCCTACTACCGAGACGATTACTCCTATTGAGACTAGTGACGGATCTGTTGTTGCTATGGGAGGAGCATTTGAAGCTCGGTTCCAGCATAAGAGAAAGGAGCAAATTAAGAGGGGGGTCGAGGTTCTGGTGAGTTGGAGTCCTATTTGAGAGATGTTGGTGATGCTATTAATGAGGAGATTGATGATCAGAAGTTTGACATTCTGAAGTAGTGGGCTCGGAACAGTGATAGATATCCCATTCTTTCAGAGATGGTTAGGGGATATATTAGCAATACCAGTCTCCTTTGTTGCATCGGAGTCCGCTTTCAGTTGTGGAGGTCAAGTGCTTAGTCCTTTCAAGTCTTCTTTGAGCCCAAACATTGTAGAGGCATTGATTTGTGCTGAAGATTGGATAAGATATGAAAGTGGAAAGACTGCAGATGAACTGAATGATAAGGAAGAAGATCAAGAGACAATCGATTATGGAAGTGGTAAGAATTCAATTTATTATTCTAATTTGTCTATACTCTTTACTATTTAAATTTTAAACCCTTCCATTAGTAACATACTAACATTTGTGTATTTTATTTGCACTAGTTACTAATACTTTCCAATCTCGAGTGGAAACTGCAAGTGACATCCCAATTGGAGCACATAGCTTACCTGTTAGGGTTGATGAGAAGGAGGAGGAGGAGGGTGATGATGAAGAATCCACTGAGTCCGGCGAAGACATGAACCAAGATGCCGATGATGATCCCGATGATACTCTTCTCAGGACTTTGAAGCAGCAAGGTTGTGCAAAATGTTGGTGGTGCTACAAGTTCTACCGGAGAAGGAGGAGCATGAGCTATTGGTTATTTGGTTGTCTATTTTAATTTTTAAGTTTGGACTTTGAACTTGTATTGAATTTAGACATTATCATTGGGCACTTTAGTCGATTGACGAAAGACGATTATGTATTTATGTTGATTGTTGACTTGTTGTCCCTTTGAATTTGATGATGTTTGTCGAATTGTCGTTTGATGAATTTGAATATTTGATGAATGATGATGCTTGATGAGTTGATGTTGATTCATGAATCATGATTGTTGACCCTTTGAAATTATGTTAAATTAAATAGATTAATAGATAGCAACTTTGAGTTTGACCAATTTTAAGTTAAGGCATTAACATTAACATATATTTCATTATTAATAAATATTACATACATGAATGGAAGTAGGTAAGTATAGGCCTCAAAAATATTATAAATAAGAGTTATAAATTATTACTTACAAAAATGAAGAAAAAACTCAGAAAAATCAAAATGTTACAACCTGCCCCTACTACCCAGAGATTCGGTTCGGCAATTTTCCAGTAAACCGAAACCCTTCCGCATTAACTTCTGACGGTAAATCGGTAAAACCGGTTTGTAACCATTTACCGGTAATTCGGTAACCGGTAAATCGGTTATAAACCGGTTTACCGATTACCGACCAATTGTCACCCCTACGCCTAGGCAAACTATGCGCTAGGCAAAGGCTAAACGCCCGCCTTATGCTTAGCGCCTTTTTGAACCTTGCCTGGGACACATCCCAAACCCTCTCCCTTCGCCTATGTCTCTAAGATAAAACAATTACATTAGACGAATGGAAATAAATGTCATAAGTAATGAGAGCAGCAAACATTATAACAAAAACATGATTTCACATATCATACATGATGCTTAAGACAAAATTCGATACAAAATAGAATGAATAAGGAACACTGATCAACAAAACATCAAGAACTATTTCATGTCAGAATAACTGGCTCATGTCAACCAAAATCACACATTCATTCATTATCAGTTGTCACATCAGTCTTCTATGATGAAGCAACTCAATTTTTTATATACTAATAACTTGGGGTTTACACAAGAATTACACAAGGCAAATAATGTTGGGAGGAAAGAGCTAACAACAAAGTAACAATGTGGGAGAGGGGATAATCAGCTGAGCAGTACCCCCATCAGAAGATATCCAGGATCTCCAAGATCGGACGGTTGCAAACGGGGCAACCACCTCTATGCGCCCAAAGATCCCTCGAACATACCCTACAGAAGGTATGACCGCAGGGGATAAACGCCGCGCCCTTATCCCTCTCCATGCACACGCAGCACAGCCAATCCCCGCCCTCCTCTTTCCTCTTGTCCGTTGCCGCTTCTCCACCTTCAACAATCTCATCCTCTCTCCTCCGCTTGCTCGTCGGCCAATCCGAGCCGTCCGTTTCCTCGATGAGCATCATCAACGTCTTGGAATCCGCGCCTCCGCCTCCCCGCGAATTCCGCTCCTCGGCCAGCGCCATCGCCAGGTTCATCCCGCTCGGTCTCGCCCCGATCAACTGCCGGAGCGTGATGGGCATCATCGGCTCTTCTTCCCGCTCGTCGTCGCCGCCCGTCTCTTCTTCTTCTTCTTCTTCTTCTTCTTCGTCAGGGTCGGAGGGTATGACTCCGGGGCCGGCGATGGCCCAAGCGGCGGCGGCGCCACCGCAGCAGCCGCTTAAGCCCCTGAAAGTCAACCGTCGCTTCAGATTCCTCCACCCCGCCATTAATTGGTGAAAAGAAGCAGGCAAGCTGGAGGAGACACAGCGGAAGTGGAAACTGAAGCAATTTTGGAGAGGGTTGGGGGTTATTGTTATCGTGAGGATGGTAGTGGGTGAAGAAGAGAGGGAAGCCGGTAGAGCGAGTGGCAATTGGCAGATTGGGAAGGAGCCAAAAATGGCGGAGAGGCAGGAAAGAAGAGAAAGGGGGAAGTTTCACTTTTATATTTATTTTTTGGTTTTATTTTGTCTTCTGTTAAATTAAAAGATCAATAGCTCTTAATAAAAAAAAAAAGATCAATAGCTAAACAAGTCCATTTGATATGCAAAAATAGCAAATAAGCCCCAAGACAAATTATCTTGAAGGGATTTGGTAAAGGTAAAGAATGAGTCTGTCAACATTAACTTGATCTCAAAAGAATCCATACAATTTCATGGATTGACAACACTTTCAATTGGTTCTCCCACTAAATTTCCGTCAAAAGCGGCTGATTTGGATCTTTCAAGTTCAAGTTAATGCCGACGCAACATATTTTTCACCATGTGGTAATGAGTTAGCGAGAATCGTGCTGGTGGTTTCTATTACTAACGAATCATAATACACGAGGGCTTATCTGTTCAAAAAAAAAAAAAAGTTGAGTGGGTTTGCTTGTTATCTTTGAGCATATTAGGGTGGCTTATTTAGCTATTAATCCTTAATTTATCCAAGGCAATGTTTGGCATTGGATTCAATTTGCAAGTATGATGAGCTGCTGGGAAAAAAGCTGGAAGGTGAAAGTGAAATATGATTCCTTACTTTGAGTACTTTGTCTCATAATTCATAAACATGAAAATGAAACCTCGTGGGACCTTTGTATGTTTCTTTTTAGCTTTTATGGTTGAGATGGTTCAGCAGTTTGAAAGCATTAGGTAGAAGAACATTGTACCTGCTCCAAAGCTTCCTTAGCTAACCCCTTTCACATTTTTTTTTATATCAAATTCAGCTTCATCATTGTGATCCATCGTGTACAAGACTAATAAGGTATTGGATGATATATTATAACCCTCTATTTTGCTAGATCAAAGAGACCACATCAATCATAAGGACTTGTCGGACTTAAATTCCAGTCTTTGTAAACACTAGTTTCACAAAGCTGAGTAATTGCAAGGTTTATTGATTTGCATGTTATGATATATAAACTGAACCGGTTAGATTAGATGATTTGATCTTTGATTGCTTACTTCCATGTTGTATGATTAGAACTTGTAAAGTAGTAGGTGGGAGATAGTTGACAACTTTAGGTTTGATGGTGATCATTTTATTCCATGTTGTACACCTACATCTAAACAAACACAACAAGGTCAAATCGTTTAGTGGGGCAATGGGATTATGATATAGAACTGTATACATCCTAATTAATCGGCAAAAAAATATATTAAGTTTGGCAGAGGGATTCAAAATCTCTTTGGTCAAAGTAATGATGTTCCGTTTGATTAGTGGAACCACAATTGACAGCAAGATGCAACACTCTCTAGGCTTTCTTTTTGGCAGAGCGCCAAGCGAAGGCAAGGAGGTTGATACAAGGATTAGGAGTGCTTAGTGATTAGGTTCGCAGTCGATTTTTAGACTAGAATGAATCAAATCAGAACAAAAACAGGAAATAGTCGATTGAAGATATAATGTGCCGATGGAAAACCTATCGAACAATATCAGACCTATTGTGCTGTCTGCTCCGGACAGGTCCAGACTCTGACCATGCCCACTAGAATCGTGTTCATGGCATAATGGGTCAAAGGGTTTCAAGTTCATATGTGAGCGCAGGAAAAAAAGAAAGCAGGCGCCAAATTCAAATTAAAGCCTGTGAGACATGGTTTGCAGCTTGTGGGGATTCTTGTAAAGAAGACAAAAAGAAAGAAAGAAAGAAAAGGAAAACAGACAGCAAAATCTTCCTCTTTAGAAAAAAAACCCACAACTCCCGGGGTGGATAACTGCAAATCTTTACCATTATCAAATCGCTAACTCCATTTGGGAAACAACAACCCCTCAGCAGTTTCCCGAGTTGTTCACAATTTCACATGCATATTAAACTCTTTCTTCGATCCCCAAAACTTCCGAATCAGAAACAGAAAGAAACAGGACAGTCCTGGTAGTAAGCTGACATGGAGTGTTAAGCATCTGCAGTGTACGAGCTGGGAATTTCTGTGTGTTTTCATTGATGAATCAATGGCCAATTTATCAGCTTTACCATTCATTTATGGTGAATATGGTGCCGTGGTTTCATGAATAATACCATGTGAGCTATAAAATTCCTTGAAAGGATTAGATTCATACTCTGATCCTCTATCACTTCTAAGTCTTTTTATCTTTCGATTGCACTGATTTTCAAATTCAACCACAAATACCTTGAACATATCAAGGGCTTCACTTTTGTTTTTCATCAAATAAACAAAGCAATAATCAGAGCAATCATCTATGAAAGTGATAAAGTATCTTTTGCCAGACCTAGTTAACGTCCCATCTAGTTCACAAATATCAGAATGAATAAGATCTAAGGGTTCTGATTCTCTACTCACAGATTTATGGGGCGTTTTCGTTATTTTAGCTTGGCTACAGAAATCACATTTATCAAATTCATTCATTGAGAACGAGGTTACCGAATCTGGAGCTGAGTCGCGGACTAGGTCGCTCTCTTTAAGACGTTCGCGGCACTGCCTTCGATGCGCACGGCAGACTATCAACCGGTCGTTTCCAGGATAAAACAGCTCCTCTCAATACTCGCGGTTTTGTGCGAAAACCGAAGCTCTCTAAACACTCTCTCTATTGTGTTTCTGCTCGTTGTGATGTGTTTAGAGGGGCTGGGGAGGCGGCTATTTATAGGAGCCGAACCCCTAGGAATATACCCTCTTGCTTGGGGAATAAGTCGGATTAATTAAGGAAGATAATTACTTCCTTAATTAAAACCGTCGGTTAAGATAAACCCGAAGGGATTATCCTTCGAATATTCCGTTTTAGTCGATTATCCTTAGAATATTCCTCAGAATAACCGATTAATAATTAATTATTAGATAATTAATTTCGTTCGGAATTTCTCCAAAAATATATATATAGTCTCAAGTGAACCAACCGACCGACCGGTCGAACGGACGGCGCGCGCGCGCGCGTGGTGGTCCGTTAGGTCCTCGCTCTCCCACAAAAGTGGGTCACCCCAAGGGGCATGCCCTTAGGAGAGAGGCTCCTATCTTTATACACATTTCACCAAGTAAAACTACCAATGTGGAAGTTTTTCCACTAGAGACTCTATAGCTTTCAAAGCTATTCATATACATTTCCAACAATCCCCCACTTGAATAGTTTTGAAACTATCTCTGAGCATCAACAGTTCCATAAGATCGGGCATAAGCTAAGGTATCGCGAAGATTTGAACCTTAGCGTAGTGGTTACATTTCCGATTTCATAAGGGTGACTCGTAGTCTTGAACCCTATCTCAGACAGTGCAGCACACCGGATCTTTTCATTGAGTTGTGTTCTCTTCATAGCCCGTGCGTTTATGGCCATGCACGTTACCCTGGTTTAGCGAACGCTCTAGCAACTTTGTGCCTCCAAAGTTCCATAGGGAGCGGCCCCACTCCCACATTCACATAGGTGAGTCTATCAAGAGTACCCCCAAAGTAAAGTACTCCACCCCACATAGGGTATAGATCTCATTAAGAGTTATTAACTCAACCTCCAATGCTTTGGGATTCATGCTTCACTATGCATGAACTTTTCGCATACTACTCATGACTTGTTATTACCCATTGAACCCATTTCTTGGGATCTCCAGTCTATTGGGTCGGGTTACCATCACTTGTAGTCCTTGGTTTGGTAGGCATAAGTCCCATACCCTTGGCGGTATTTTGGACTTTCTCTCTAGGTAATCCTTTCGTCAAAGGATCAGCTAGATTCTGTTCGGATCTTATATGATCCACCCTCACTGCTCCTATCGTTAGGAGTTCTCTTACAGTACTGTGCTTACGATGAATTTGCCGTTTCTTTCCGATATAGAACCGGTTCTCAACTTTAGCGATAGCTGCGGTACTATCACAATGGATCAATACCGGAGGGACCGGCCTTTCCCATAGGGGAATCTCTGACAACAATCCTCTCAACCAACTTGCTTCTTCACTAGCCGTTGCTAATGCTATCATCTCTGATTCCATAGTTGATTGAGCTATGATTGTTTGTTTCTTTGACTTCCAAGACACAGCTCCACCAGCGATGTTGAAAACATACCCGCTGGTTGCCTTGGAGCCACCTGATAGGGTATTCCAATAAGCATCACTATACCCTTCTAGTACAGCAGGAAACCTTTGATAGTGTATACCAAGGTTTGTTGTTCTCTTGAGGTATCTCATGACCCTCTCTATAGCATTCCAATGCTCTCTACTAGGACAGCTGTTAAACCTGCCAAGCAATCCCACGACATATGCAATGTCTGGTCGAGTGTAATCCGCAGCATAACGGTGACTGCCAATGATGCTAGCATATTCTGATTGTCTTACACTGTCTCCAGTGTTCTTAAATAGCTTTACACTAGCATCATACAGAGTACACGTAGGTTTACAGTCGAAATAGTTATATTTCTTCAAGATCTTCTCTATGTAGCTAGATTGATCTAGAGAATAACCATTTGTTGTTCTAGTTATCTGGATTCCAAGCATAAACTTTGCTTCTCCCAGATCTTTCACTTCAAAGCTCTCTTTCAACATGGCTTTTGCTTCATTGACCACGTGAATATTTGTACCAAATATCAACATGTCATCTACATACAAACATATGATAGTACAAGTGTTATTTTCTGACTTGCAGTAAATACACTTGTCACTTTCATTCACCTTAAAGCCATGTGAGAGAACGAGAGTGTCAAACTTCTCATGCCACTGTTTTGGAGCCTGTTTCAAACCATATAATGATTTGTCTTACAGACTTTCGAGGCATGTTCGGGGATAACAAACCCTTCTGGTTGTTCCATATAGATTTCTTCATCCAGATCACCGTTCAAAAAAGCGGTCTTAACATCCATTTGGTGTACCACGAGATTGTTCAAGGCAGCAAGAGCAATCATAACACGAATGGATGTTATTCTTGATACTGGTGAATAGGTATCGAAGAAATCTATATTCTCTCTCTGCTTGTAGCCCTTAACTACTAGGCGAGCTCGGAACCTTTCGATTGCACCATCAGGTTTCCGTTTCGTTTTTAGAACCCATTTATTACCTAAGACTTTGCAGCCAGGAGGTAAGTCTGTTAGATGCCAAGACTTATTAGCTTCTAACGATTCCATTTCATCTATAACGACCTCATTCCAAAAATATGCATCTACGAAAGTTAATGCTTCCTGCAAACTTTTTGGATCTTCGAGGGTGAATACTGTAGTAAAGTCATCACCAAAATCTTTAGAGATTCTAGCTCTTTTACTTCTTCTGAGTTCATCCTCAGAACCAACACCCCCACTAGTTCCGTTATCTCTAATAGCGGGTAGTACATTACTCCCGCTATTTCTCGTTTTAAATGGAAATCGTGTCTCAAAGAAATCAGCATCAATGGATTCTATTATAGTACGAGCATTCAAATCATAGAATCTATATGCCTTACTATTGGCCGCATAGCCAACGAAGACACATTCATATGCTCGACTAGCCAATTTAATCCTCTTAGGATCCGGAATCCTTACGTAGGCCAAACAGCCCCACGTTCTTAAATAGGACAGATTAGGTGGCTTATTTTTCAAGATCTCATAGGGTGATTCTTTTCTATTTGTTTTTGGAAGACGGTTTAGCACATAGCAAACTGTCAACAAAATATCACCCCACCAAGAAGAAGCAGCTCCAGAATTGAGCATAATAGCCACAACTAATTCTGTAAACGTCATATTTTTCCGCTCAGCTTTACCATTCATTTCTGGTGAATATGGTGCCGTGGTTTCATGAATGATACCATGTGAGCTATAGAATTCCTTGAAGGGATTAGAGTCATACTCTGATCCTCTATCACTCCTAAGTCTTTTTATCTTTCGATTGCACTGATTTTCAAATTCAACCACAAATACCTTGAACATATCAAGGGCTTCACTTTTGTTTTTCATCAAATAAACAAAGCAATAATCAGAGCAATCATCTATGAAAGTGATAAAGTATCTCTTGCCAGACCTAGTTAACGTCCCATCTAGTTCACAAATATCAGAATGAATCAGATCTAAGGGTTCTGACTCTCTACTCACAGATTTATGGGGCGTTTTCGTTATTTTAGCTTGGCTACAGAAATCACATTTATCAAATTCATTCATTGAGAGTTTCGGGATATGTCCTAGCTTGCTTAAATTCTTCACAATTCGTGTGTTCACATGACAAAGACGAGCATGCCAAACATCAAATCACACACCATGTAAACTGAAGAATTCATCTTATTAATTTCGACATTCAACTTGAACATCCCATTACATGCATATCCCTTTCCCACAAAACTCCCATTCTTAGTAAGGATATACAAGTCTGCCCCAATAGTTCGATTAAACCCAGCCTTATTAAGAAGATATTCCTTAACAAGATTCTTCCTTATCTCTGGAGTGTGCAACATATCCTTGAGCACCATCTTCTTCCCAGAGGTGAAGTTCAGCTCCACTTCACCAGAACCAGCAACCATAGTGGTGTGAGTAGTCCCCAACAACACTTTCTTGTCAGCAGGTGCTTCTGTGTATGTTTTAAACATAGCACGATTGTTGCAAACATGCTTCGATGCACCTGTATCCAGCCACCATCCTTCTGAGTCACCGGTGAGGTTAACTTCAGCGATCATATCTGTGATCATGGCTATCAAATCCTCTTCTGTCAAGTTAACCCTGGCCGCAGCGGCAGAGTTTTGCTTGTTCCGGCACTTCTTTGCCATATGACCCGGTTTTCCACAGTTATAGCAGATAAACGGTGGGTCATTCTTAGAGGTTTGGGCCATGCCCCTTTGGTTACCTCTAGAGACACCATTCTGGTGGGGGCGGACCTGCTGGTTCTTACTCTTAAACCCTTTCTGGTTAGGTTTAAGAGCTCTAGGGGTGGGTCGTTTAGCAGTGACGACCATCACCTCTTCTTTCATATCCTGCTTGCGGGACTCTTCCTCAATCCTTAGGCGAGTAATCAAGCTTTCCAGTGAAAATTCTTTGGTTTTGTGCCTAAGCATATTCTTAAAATCTTTCCACGAAGGGGGCAGCTTATCAATAATGCAAGCAACTTGAAATTGATCGTCCAGAGGCATACCTTCAGATACGATCTCATGAGCTATTTTCTGAAGTTCGTGGGACTGAACTTCGACGGACTTGTCATCCACCATCTGGTAGCGCAGGTAGCGGCTGACAGCATACTTCTTAGCTCCAGCCTCCTCCGTGTCGTACTTCTTTTGGAGCGCATCCCAAATCATCATAACGGTGTTCTTACTATCCGCATAGTAGTCGTACAGATCGTCTGCCAGGCCGTTGAGGATGTAGTTCTTGCACATGAAGTCATGCTCCCTTTCTTTGGCAGCAGCAGCCCTCTCCTCATCGGTCGCTTCTTCCGGCAGCTCGACGGGCATGCTGGTGAGGCAGTGGGCCAGTTTTTTGGTCGTCAGGTAGAACTCCATCTTTTGCCTCCAGCAACGGAAGTTGACCCCAACGAAGCGAAAGGGTCGATTGATATCGACAGCACCAGATCCGGCCATGTTGTTCTGTTCAGTCGACATAGCAGCAGCCAAGCGTCTTAAAATTGTTAGGAACGGAACAACAAAAGGAACGAGGTTACCGAATCTGGAGCTGAGTCGCGGACTAGGTCGCTCTCTTTAAGACGTTCACGGCACTGCCTTCGATGCGCACGGCAGACTATCAACCGGTCGTCTCCAGGATAAAACAGCTCCTCTCAATACTCGCGGTTTTGTGCGAAAACCGAAGCTCTCTAAACACTCTCTCTATTGTGTTTCTGCTCGTTGTGATGTGTTTAGAGGGGTTGGGGAGGCGGCTATTTATAGGAGCCGAACCCCTAGGAATATACCCTCTTGCTTGGGGAATAAGTCGGATTAATTAAGGAAGATAATTACTTCCTTAATTAAAACCATCGGTTAAGATAAACCCGAAGGGATTATCCTTCGAATATTCCGTTTTAGTCGATTATCCTTAGAATATTCCTCAGAATAACCGATTAATAATTAATTATTAGATAATTATTTTCGTTCGGAATTTCTCCAAAAATATATATATAGTCTCAAGTGAACCAACCAATCGACCGACCGGCCGCCGGCCGGTCGGACGGACGGACGGCGCGTGTGTGTGGTGGTCCGTTAGGTCCTCCCTCTCCCACAAAAGTGGGTCACCCCAAGGGGCATGCCCTTAGGAGAGAGGCTCCTATCTTTATACACATTTCACCAAGTAAAACTACCAATGTGGTAGTTTTTCCACTAGAGACTCTATAGCTTTCAAAGCTATTCGTATACATTTCCAACAGTAGTTACAAGATTAGTGGTGCTAGTAGTGGGAGCAATATTAGGAACAGAATAACAGAGTGGAGAAAATGGAGGAAGTGGCATTAGACCTGGTCCTCCTTAACACGCCCCCACAAGTTGATGGGGAATAACCTTCAACTTGTCTCGAAAATGTAGAAAACGCTGACGAGGTAGAGGCTTGGTGAGGAGATCGGCAACCTGATCTTCAGTGGAGATGTAACGAACCAGCAGGCGACCAGCAGCTACTCTTTCGCGGACGAAGTGGAAGCCTATTTCCATGTGTTTGCTGCGCGTGTGAAAGACGGGGTTGGCGGTGACGTATGTTGCACCTAGATTATCACACCATAGCTTGGGAGGAGAGGTAAGTGGCTGGCCGATCTCAGTGAGAACTGAGAAGTGACTTGATCCAAACGATCTCTGCAGCTAGAGTGGCAAGGCCTTGTATTCCGCTTCTGTGGATGAGTGTGCAACAGTGCGCTGTTTGCGGGATGATCAGGAGATGAGATGACAGCCGAGGTAGACAGCATATCCGGTGGTTGATCGACGATCAAGAACGGAGTTTGCCCATGCCGCGTCATAGTAGCCTGAGAGAAGCAATGGAGAAGTGTTGTTGAAGAAGAGGCCATGGGTAGAAGTACCGTTGAGGTGAATTCTCTTGACATCAGACCAGTGATGCTGCAATGGGTTGTGCATATGTTGCGCCGAGAAATTCACTGCATGTGAGATGTCTGGGCGAGTGAACTGGAGGTATTGAAGAGCTCCGACGATCTGGCGATATAAGGATGGGTCACTGAAGGGGGTCATATCGGGGTCCTTCGTGGCCGGGGCAGCCGGTGTGGAGAGGGAGTTCGCATTACTCATCTTGGCTCGGTCAAGAATAGCTTGGATGTATCTTTGTTGGGTGAGCAGAAGACCCGTCGGAGTCCAATGGGCTTGGACGCCGAGGAAGTAGTTTAGACGACCGAGATCCCGAACTACAAACTTTCCCTGCAAAAAGAGAAGAAGCGGGTGCAAGGCGGAGCCTTGATTCCCGGTTAGCAAAATGTCACCCACATAGACAAGGAAATAGAGACGAATGGCGCCGCGGCGGAGGATGAACAAGGAGGGGTCGGTTTTGGACCCCTTGAACCCATAGGACTCCAGTGCTTGACGAAGACAATGGAACCAGGCTCGCAGCGCTTGTTTTAGGCCGTAGAGTGACTTCCGGAGATGGCAGACGTGGTCGGGTCGAGCTTGGTCGACAAATCCGGGCGGTTTTTGCATATTAACAGGTTCAGAGAGGCTGCCATGGAGGAAGGCATTGGCGATGTCCAATTGACGCACTGGCCAATTCTGTGACACGGCGAGAGAGAGGATGAGCCGAAGAGTTGTGGGTTTGAGGACGGGACTGTATGTTTTGCCGAAGTCAATGCCCGGGCGCTGCTGGAAGCCGCGAGCGACAAGGCGGGCTTTGTAGCGCTCGATGGAATCATCTGGCTGAGTTTTGATACGGAAAATCCATTTGCAGGAGATGAGATTTTGATCAGTTGCAGGTGGAACAAGGAGCCAGGTGTTGTTTCGGAGCAGGGCATTGTATTCGGCGAGCATGGCAGCACGGAAGTGAGGGTGACCAAGACATTGATGCCATTGGGAGAGGGTGGAATGAAACGTACGAGGAGACACTTGGGAGAGAATGGAGAGTGGCACCGAGTACAACCCATCTTTACTGCGACCCTGATGGAGGATTTTCTGGGAGCGAGAGTCCTTGATGATGAAAGAATCATTGACAAAATGAATAGATAAGGGATTAGTACTTGTGAGAGAGTTGATAGAAAGCGGATTGTGAGAAGCAGAAGGAACATGAAGAATATTGTGAAGATGAAAAGGATGACGATTAAGTGAGACATAATTGGTTGAGGAGGAGGCATAATTGGTCAAGGGTGGAGAGCGGGAGTGAGGGAGGGGTTGGGACAGTGTTTGGCGAGATGGCCATAGCCATGGCAGGTGTAACATTGAAGCGTGCTGCTGTTCGGATTGGGTGAGTGGTGATTGGGCCTGGGCCCAATTATCCCTGCTGCGTGGCTTGGTCCTGCAAAAGAAGAGGGGAAAACAGAGGGGTAAGAGGAGTGGCCACCGCCGCTGTAGCTCGATCCACGGCCGCGTCCGAAAAATGACCACGCCCACGGCTGCCATAGAGGTGGGTGCCGCCACGCCGGCCATAACGGCCATAATTTGCTTGGGCGGGACCACCATCAGAAATAGGACTACGGCGGCGGAGCCGATGTTCTTCATTGAGAAGGAGGCCGTGAAAATCAGCAAAGGAGAGAGGCTCCAGCTTGGTTTCAATGGTGCGAACAAATGGGAGGAACTCGTCGCCGAGGCCACGAAGGCAACGATCAACCAATTCATCGTCAGAGATCGGGTTATTCAGGGCAGCAAGGCGGTCAGCGAGGTCATGGGCACGAGCAAGGTATGGAGCACAAGACTTCGTACCACGAGAAAGCTCGCTGAACTGGGTGCGCAGGCCGCGTAACGTTTGTCGGTTGCCGGAGCCGTAGGTGGAGGCGAGACGCGTCCAGGCCTCAAGCATCGTGGAACAGCCGACCAGTCGAGAGAGGACAAAGTCGGAGAGAGAGCCGGCGATCCAAGAGAAGACTAGTTGATCAAGACGGCGCCAAGCAATGTAGTCAGGGTTCGATTGGACGCCATCGAGAGTACGAGGCGGTGCGGGGAAGCTGCCATCAACAAACTTGGAACGATCAAAGCTTGTAAGAAGGGGAAGAAGTTGCATGTGCCATAGGAGATAGGGGTGGGCATCCGGTTCGGTAAACCCGAACTGAACCGGAACGAAACCGAATACAACCGAACCGAAATCGAACACTATAAATTCGGTTCGGAATTCGGAAGGCAAAATTCTACATTTCGGAACCCAGGGTATGCACTACCGAACACGAATTCTGATTAACCGACCGAAAAACCGAATATAGCCAAACCCACCCTCCCAGCCCAGTTTCTCATCTCGGCCCACATACTCATAACACAACTTACACAGTCAGTCCCTCATCTGAGCCCACCCAACTCGACACAACCCTAAGCCTAGTCAATCACAACCTTATACGACAGCCGCCACCAACCCTCAGGCCTCAACCTCTTCCTCAAACCTCAACCTACCCTGAGCTCCTTCGATGAGGCGAATACAGATCCTGGGAGGGATCGGCGGCGGCGGATTCCTCCTCTTCAATGGTGCTGCCGACATGCAGGCAAAGCTACCAACCACCATCTCTCGCCTTCGATGTCGTCGCCAGCGGGAGAAGAGGGTCTGTAGCAGTACGCCCAATACTTCTTTCAGATCGGAATGAGAAAGAAAGGGAGAAGGCGAAGAAGAGTAGATCCGGCGGTGGCGGGTTTGCCTTGAGGAGCGGCACGAACGGTGGTGGCGGGCTCGGCCTTGAGGAGCGGCGGCGTCCTCCCCAGTCCCCTGTCTTTTCTTCATCGTCACTATTCCCCGCCATCATGCCTGCAACCGCATCCTTCTTTCCCTGAGCTCCCTCACATGTTCATTTTGTTTTTTTAGAAGATTTTAGTGCTTTGTGTGTGCAGGTAGAGTGAAAGAAAGGAGATGAGAGATGGAGAAGGAAAATTGAACGGGATGAGAGAGAGGGGGCAATAATAGTTTGGAATGGGAACAGGTCCAAAATTTACAAAGATGAAGGGAAAGTTTGTTCGGGTTTGGGGCTGAAACCGGACCGAACCGATATATATTTCGGTTCGAGCTTACCGAACCGAAATATATTTTGGTTCGGAATCGGTTTGAGGTTTGACATAAATCGGGGACCCGGTATACATCATTTCGGTTTGGTCGAAACCGAACCGACCGAATGCCCACCCCTAATAGGAGATAGTTCGTAGCGGTGAGTTTGGTGGCGATGTGAGGGGCCGAGGGAGGATTGAAGGGTGAGAGGGGAGTTGTGGCGGCGGGAATAGGGCCTGTGGCATCAGAAGAGGAGGAGGAAGTCGACATGATGAGGGAGAAGGAAAGAAGAATCAGGGAGGAAAGGGTGGGGAAAAAGAAGACTCAATTTGCCGTTAGGCTGTTCGGCTCTGATACCATGTACGAGCTGGGAATTTCTGTGTTTTCATTAATGAATCAATGGCCAATTTATACAGTAGTTACAAGATCAGTAATGCTAGTAGTGGGAGCAATATTAGGAACATAATAACAGAGTGCAGAAAATGGAAGAAGTGGCATTAGACCCGGTACTCCTAACATGCAGGACGACCCCATGGCGACAACATGCAGTATTCGCCCGCGGTACGCTCCTTTTCGCTTTCACATTGAAACTGCATGTGATCCATTTTGGTTTGTTCAGTTCACTTTGTATAGGCAGTCAGTCAAGCTTCTGGGTATTTTGGGATACAATGATTGATCAGGCCACCACATAGAATCATGGCAGAAACATGGGCACATAGTAAATCTTCTTGGATGCCACAAGAAACAAATAGGCAGTGGAAGATCACTGTTAAACAGCAAGCTTAGCTCTCATGCACTGGATCTTTAAGCCAGCAGAAGCTAATTCACTCATGAATTGGAATATGAAAAGTGAAGAATAGAGACAAGGAACAGAGGGGAGGGGGGAAGCAGTACATTTTGTATATGATTACTATAACAATCAGCATGTGAAGAGTATGGATCTTTCCTTTTCCCAATTTCGAGTAGAATACAACACTAATAAAGTACATTTAAAGGGTAATGAATCTTTTGTTTACTGTTAAACCTTATGAACAATGATTCGATTGGGGGCCTACTGTCAATTTATGGGAGCCAGTGATCAAATGTACCTTTACCAAAGACAGAGAATCAAAAGTCGAAGCACGAAAGCTAACTCTTCGTGTTATTCCACACCAAGGAGTTGATGCTAAGCAGCCTACAAGAGGAATTTCACTAATCAGAGAGTATCCTGTAGACGTCTAACGCAATTGAATTTGTTACATGATAACTCAGATCAGTACGAATAGATAAAAATGCACGCAGAACTTACAGAAATCGGCACCTTCCTCCCTCAAACTGGGCCTTGGGCGCTTTTACCAACAGCTGCAAAATCTGGGCACATTCTGTTTTGTACGAGGTCAACTGGACGTCAACACCTCTCTGGGCTTGAACCTTGATCTTTTGTGGTGCAATTGGCACTTCACAAACAAGTCTTTACAACTGTAACTAATTTAAGCAACTCAATTTAACTTCAAGCATTGCAAGTCAGAACGTCCTGTGAAAAAACAGTTAAACTTAAATCAGCTTGCATTAGATAGAGTCAACAACTACAACTGCAATATTAAGGGGAGAATGGTAACAAGCAGGGAGTTCACCAAGGGTGACGCGATGCTGCCTTGCTACCATCAGGCTAGAAGCCCTTCGGTAGACTAATTATCTATGATAGAATGTTAAACTTATTAATATCACTCATCTTGGCAAGTTTAACTAGAGTTTAGAGACACGACATACCATCAATTTTAAAATTTACTATAACCCACTTCTAGCATCAGATGGCGATAGCTACGACCACGTATTAACCGTTGCCACAAGAACTGGAACGAGGACCCGAAATCCATTTGCATCTTCTCCTTCACAAGCCTGTACAGTCGGATTGTATGTAAAACCATTTTAGCAAAACACTTGTCCAACAATGGAAATTGATGCGAAAAAGAACAGACTCCCCAACTTACCATCTTGCTAGACACCGTTGAATTCCTCTAGATATGGGTCGAATGAAGGATGGTTCACGCTGAGCGTATAACAAGCCAACCTCAATCAATGCCCCTGTGCATGGATCATCCAGAATCTCCAAGCTACAATCAGCTAGATAATTAACCTGCAAGTACCAGCTTGGAATAAAGTTCCTTTTTTCTGGTTTTGATGTGGAGGTTTTCGGTTGGAATAAAGTTCCTTAGAAAGGGATAATGTGCTTAAATCTCGAAAACATGTAGATGGTGTCAATTTACACGATGTTGAACACACCAAGTAAACAAAGAATAGGAGTCACTTCACACAGGGCTGAGTCAGGCCGTGAACACATTTAAATCCAAATCGGATGGGGGAACGGATATTAGTACAATCCGGTTTCCATTCCATAGATTCTCTTAAAATTAAGGAAAATGCAGACTGCATCAAACTGGACGAAACCAAATGTACTTTTGATTTTACTTTGGTCCTCATTTTTCCATTACTTATGATCCAATTCCATATCGTTTTGGTCAGATTCTAGACTGGACCATCACCGCCTAACAGCAAGTTATGTGTAATTCATTTTGATTACATATAATTAAAAGTTCATTAATGAGACCAGACCACAGGGCATAAATGTAAACCCTGTCAACCATCAAGCACAATGTCAATTTAACGAGTTCAGAATGTCATAAAAGCCACGTACCCCAAATTCAGTGTTTGCTAACGTCTGGATAAAATCCATGAGTTGAAGCTTGGCCCAATTGGAGGACCGAATAGGATCATCTCTTTGAGGAGGATGCCTCCAAGAAGAGCCAAATCGCAGTTTATCTTTTGGAATTTTTCCCTTTCTTGCATCCTCGGCAAACTTCTGGAGAATCGCAATGGCTTTATCCATTGCAGGATTTACAACAATTATCTAATTAAAGAAAGAAAAAGATAGCATCAGTCTCATACAAAGCGAAACAGGGTTACAAATTAGAATTTGAAAAAGGAAACTACAATGAAAAAAGAAATAAGACTCACCTGTAGATAAGCTAAATATGCATCGATGATATCCTCGAATGTGTTATCCTTGTCCTCCAGTACCCTGCAACAAAAACCCAGATAAGAAGCCATACGGAAATTTCTATCACCATCAAGAGATTTCTTCTATGACTATCCTTGCAGGACCAGGATTTGGTTCATCCCGATGAAGATGGTAAAATTTTGTGACCCTTTGAAGAATACCATGAGACTGCCTAAGATATTCGAGGTACAACTAAGATGCTAAATTGGACTGCTCTGATTACTGAAAAACATATCAAAATGAACAAGGTTTATATCTAGACATGATCCATTGGAGAACCTTATGCCAACAAAACATAGATGTTCTTACTTCTGGTAATAGCTGCTTTGCTTGAGTGCATAAAGTTCAAAAAGATGCCTAGGGCTTGGCCCAAGCACTTCAACTATCATTTTCCACTACAAATCAACAAGATCAGAACTCCAATTAGTGAAACCAAAATATATTAGCAACATCAGATGCATCCAAGGAAAAATTTTCATATGTTCTTCGAGAGGGAGATTTAGACTACTATTTCTATCTTCTTAAAGATAAATCACAACTTTCTGTTCAGACAAGGCTCGTCTAAACAAGCAAACAGGGTTGAAGAAATTGTACCTCTGATTGACTGAAGTAGTCTGCAATCATGTGCAATTCAGCCTCCCTTGGAGTCCAACCAAAGGTCTGGAGAGAAATGAAATTTTACATAAACAACGCAGTCACCTGAATCCCCCAATAGACATGCCCTAACATGTGGATTCATTTCATGAGAATTACTTCCAGTATACATGCACGAGAACAGTAATGAATTTGTTGGCATGTTTTTAACACAAAACTAAACCAAAAGGGTATCACCAGTGAAATTCAAATCACTGAGTGCTTTCATCTTGGTAACGATTGAGGTTGATAGCAAATAAATCACAAGATCCTATTTTTACATGAGATAAATAAACTACTATTTTGAGTTGGGGTTGCTAAAAAAGATGAGTGAGATGAATCTCAAGCCCAATGGATGTTCTCGATCAGAATAACAGATGAAATAAATGCAGCAGCAGTTTCAGTACCTCTCTAGAGATAAATATATCTGGAAAACCGAAATCCATGAAAGCCCTGTAAGAATAGTAGCTGCAGAACAAGTCTTTCATTAGAATTATCATTACAAATCAGTCAACAACGAACATACATTTCGTTTCAATTGCAGATGCATGTAGAATGATACCCATTTCAAACCATTTTCACTTTACCAGTGAAGCAGCACTTGGGAAAACAATACACCCGGTTGAAACAGAATGTTGGACATTAGTTAATAAATACAGAAAACCGACCTATCAGAAGTCACAAGCATAACGGGAAGACACTTCTCATTGGCACCCAAAGCAATGATTCTCCATATCAGACTGTCATGATACATTGATCCAGACACCATCTTATCATCATTTAACAAAGCATTTTTCAGCACCTCGATATTGTTTATCACCAGCTTCGGCTGCAAACCGAAGCACTAATTAATACATCAACCGACATATATTAACCCAATTCAATGAACAACTGCGGCTCCCACTCTAATATTTTACCTGAAAGTAATCAATCTCGGCAGCTTGTGACAACAACTCAAGCAACAAACATGGCCAATCCGTGCAAGAATTCGCCAGCGACCTAGAGAACCCACCAGTCCGATTCAATTGAGCAATGGCATTACCTCTCGAACTCTGCATCGCCCTAATAACCTCCTTCGCCAATCTCAGCGCAACCAAGGCTTCCCTGTAGTAAGAAGCCTCA